AGGTGGTGGGAGGACAAGTAAGGGGAGAAGGGAGGTGGTTGGGTGGGAGGACAAGTAAGGGGATTTGTGGGGCGGGGTGAAAAGGATTGGGAGTGTCAGGAGGGGTTTGGTAGGGTGAAGAGGAGGTGGGTGGGAGGACGAGGAAAGGGCGAGGTGTGGGATTTGTCAGGAGACAAATTGGGGAGTGTCGCAGGAGGTGGGTGGGAGGACAAGTAAGGAAATGGGGCGAGGTGTGGGGAGAAAGGAAAGGTGTGGGAGGAAAGAGGAAGTAATGGGGAGTGTGGGATGGGAGGAGAATCAGGGAGAGATGTGAGGTGGGGAAGAGAACCAGGGAGAGGTGTGGGGGAGAAAAAGGGGTAGGTGTGGACAAAAGGTCTTTCCCCAAGCTATCCTCCGAACATTTCAGTTCCTAAAACTGTAATTATAAATCACATAAGTCAGTGCAGGCTGCTCATAACACTAGACCAAATTAAAGATTAAAATCAATTATAGCATTTATATATATATCGTTATTCTGATGAATGATGATTTGACTTTTAATTCTTTCTGTCCTTGCTGTTTTACCAGTGTCGCTCTTTCAGAAATTACTAAATGTTACTGATGTATTTAGGTGAAACTGTGTTTTCAGATATCTTACGTCAAATTTTATATTTCTCCATTCTTCCTTCCACCCTCTCTTCCCTCACCCTTTTGAAATGCAAGCTTTTGTCCAATTGAACTAGTAAAAGTAAAAAAAAAAAAAAAAATGTATTTTACGATTTCTGATCTCAGGATGTCGTTATAATTTACAAACGGCCACGGGAGTTTCAAACTGTTGCAGCTTTCTTGGAATCCCGCTATCTTCCTTGCACCACTGATAATTTGGAAAGCTACATCGTCTGTTTGAGCCTTTTCAGAAGTTAACTATGTAAACATTAAGCCTTTCCCATAATACAAAGTAGACGTCTTGTTTATACATGAGAAGCATTTCAGGTTGAACAGTTTACCTGGAACTAAATTCACGTGGCTGATGATACCGACGGAGGCAATGAACGCGAAGACGAAGCCGATTCCAGAAACGCCGAAGGATTGATCCATGTTCTGGCACTCAGCTCTTCGATAATTTGTAGGTCGTGATTTTCAGTATAAAAAAGCAGTTAATGGTTCTATAAAAAGTATCCTGCGTTTGAGATGCTTGTTAAAACGTGTCTTGTTTTTTTCATATGGGAGTTCTGGTGAATAATGATTTTTCAGTGAAAATGCAATTGTGACCCATTCAGAAAGAACCTGCATGCCGTATCAACCAGAGAATCCTCAATCTTTACGCAAATCTCAGGTACCTTCTCTGATTATGTTAGTTACCTGAGATATGTCATATATACACATATACATACATGCACACACACACACACACACACACACACACACACACACACACACACACCACACACACACACACACACACACACACACACACATATATATATATATATATATATATATATATATATATATATATATATATATATATTGTATATACTACAACTACTACCATCATTAACATCAATAGCATAATGATGCTAATGATAATACTGACACTAAGAGTATTGTCGGCAAATATAACAACAATAATGAAAAACCAGCAAATACAACAAATATAGTGATAATGATATGATAACAGCAATAAGACCATTGGCAATAGACAGAGTTTTCTCGCGCCATTTACCTTCTATCTTTTATAAGATTATATGAAATACTAATCTGATGCAGTGAATAGCTTCATTGTTGAATGCTGTAGAAACCGGAAAAGGAAATACCAACAGAGTCGAGGACTATATTGCAAAGATAAGATAAATATGACTTGAAATGTAACGGACAGCTAATTCATTTTTCGTCCACTTGCAAATCATATATAACATCAACATTAATTGCATATTTTGAGTAGATACATTTTCAAAGAATGTTTCGTTATCCATTTTCAAAGAATATTTCGTTATCTGCAACCTGAATCCCGTCACTAAGACTATACGTGCCCATGCAAAGTGCCCATGGCGATCTGTCATCGGAACCGGCCTAAGTATAGATGTATTTCAGAAACTGCGGTAGAAGTGATTATAGCATCACGAAATTTTGGAGAATTTTAGGCAAGTTTGCATAATTTTCCTTGTAAAGTACTGGTTAATTCATACATATGTACGTGCGTGCGTTTTTTTTTTTTTGGGGGGGGGAGTCCAATTGAGATTCGTTCCACGTTTCTGAGTATCAGCATTTCCATAAGCAATACTGGTCGGAATTTCAGATGAATTGACGTAATTTACTTATTAATTTATTAGAAAAATAGTAAACGGTCCTAATAATTACATATGCGACAATGAAATGTTTTTCTTTCGGTGGATGAGAAGTTTACACCAAGGAGTACCATAACCTTGGTGTATCGTAGTGAAAGGCTTATTTTACACCTGTGGACTCGGTATATGGTATCGGGTTGTCCTCAGTTCGTTTATACGCCTGCGGCCTGGAAAGTTAAAAAAAAGGTCAACCATAATATCATTCTTAATTTTAAACATTATGACATACTGGGAATGAGCTATCATACTCTTATTTTCGACTACACCGATCAATATCATGCCTTTTCAACATTAACAACCATAGAAACTATGATTGATTACAGATGTTTTCTTACTTCCCAAAGCTTGTCTGGGTATACTTGTATAAAAAGACGTTTGGTAACCCAAGTATTTTATCGACGAACATCGAAAGAACCCCTACGCTATTTTTTTTCCTTGTTTTATCTTACGTCATTTATGGTACACTTTGAAAGAACTTTCATTCTATGGACTTACGACAATATTTTTTCTTGAATATTGAATTCATTATTTAAAACTTCTAACCTCACGTGAACAACAAGGAATGCGACAACGCGCATCTTTTCGAAAAGAAGCGATACCCAACGGCACAAAAACTCGGCGTCAAGGTTACACCAAACCACGTGGTCGGCGAATGCTGGTTACCACCGTTCGGACTGTTGAAAGCATATTCACTTTGTATCAGTAGCCAATGCAAGATTGAGTCTTATGTGTCTAATACGTTTACGAACGTGGTGCTAGCTTTTTAGAGGGACACTCCACAGCTGTCATTGCGTTTTTAAGCTGACAGGAAGATGCAGCTGAACATTTGCAATAAATCTCTCTTGGCGTAGTAATCGGACACATAGTAGTAGGGAGGCGTGGCATCGAAACGAAACCGGCGAATCCCTTAGACATCAGATTTCTCGACTAGTCTGACCCCTTGCTACCCGCCTGTCCCTAGTGGTTCGCTGTAACTGACAAGGATTAGAGGTCTGACTGAAGTACTCCTGGGACTAACGTCAAAATGTCGACCGCTACCAAGCTTGGTAAGCCTGCCAGAATACATGTTTTCAGTTTGAAACGAGCCCGAATGAGCGCGAACTTAGAGGATATTTTGAATGATAAGTATTGACATTGTGAGATTACTGAACGTTTATGTTTAGGCGCTATCAATAAAATGTATGTACTGGTCGTGGGTGTGAGTTGGTATAGTTACAGAAAATATCGCCGATTTAAATCACACACTACTTTTAAAAAAGTAATATTACACAGCGCGCTTCAGTCGAGTTCTGGGTACAGGCAAATTTCCAGCCAGCCGCCTTTTAGTCGAAAAATATATGCAAACGATAGAGCAAATTATATGAAAAAGTTTGCCAGCGAATGGGCGATGCTCCCTTGGCAACTCGACGATAATTAGCTGACTCGGTCCTTGGTAGAAGGGTCAGTCAGTTCTCATATTCAGTCTGTGTCTGTCTTTTTCACCCTCTCATCTCTCCCCGGTCGGTCCTTGACCACCTGTCACTCTGTCTGTCTGTCTCTGTCTGTCTGTCTGTTTCTTTCTTTCTGCCTGGTTATGTCTGTCTATCCGATTGTCTGTTAATAATCTGTGTATGTGTGTGTCTGCTGTCAGTGTGTGTTTGTCAGTAATCAGTGTATATGTGTGTGTGTGCGCGCGCGTGTCCGCTGTCAGTGTGTGTATGTATGTGTCTGCTGTCAGTGTGTGTATGTATGTGTCTGCTGTCAGTGTGTGTATGTATGTGTCTGCTGTCAGTGTGTGTATGTATGTGTCTGCTGTCAGTGTGTGTATGTATGTGTCTGCTGTCAGTGTATGTATGTGTGTATATGCTGTCATTGCGTGTGTGTGTGTCTGTGTCAGTGTGTGTATGCGTGCCTGCTGTCAGTGTGTGTATGTATGTCTACTGTCAGTGTGTATGTATGTCAGTGTGTGTATGTATGTGCTGTCAGTGTGTGTGTATGTATGTCTGCTGTCAGTGTGTGTATGTCTGCTGTCAGTATGTGTGTGTGTCTGCTGTCAGTGTGTGTATGTATGTCTGTGTGTGTGTCTCTGTCAGTGTGTGTATGTATGCTGTCTGCTGTCAGTGGTGTATGTGTCTGCTGTCAGTGTGTGTGTGTGTGCTGTCAGTGTGTGTATGTATGTCTGCTGTCAGTGTGTGTATGTGTGTCTGCTGTCAGTGTGTGTGTGTGTGTGTCTGCTGTCAGTGTGTGTGTGTATGTGTGTCTGTGTCAGTGGTGTGTATGTGTGTCTGCTGTCAGTGTGTGTGTATGTGTGTCTGCTGTCAGTGTGTGTGTATGTGTGTCTGCTGTCAGTGTGTGTGTGTATGTGTCTGCTGTCAGTGTGTGTGTGTGTCTGTCAGTGTGTGTGTATGTGTGTCTGCTGTCAGTGTGTGTGTATATGTGTCTGCTGTCAGTGTGTGTGTGTGTGTCTGCTGTCAGTGTGTGTGTGTGTATGTGTGTCTGCTGTCAGTGTGCGTGTGTTATGTGTGTCTGCTGTCAGTGTGCGTGTGTATGTGTGTCTGCTGTCAGTGCGTGTGTATGTGTCTGCTGTCAGTGCGTGTGTATGTGTGTCTGCTGTCAGTGTGTGTGTCTGTGTCTGTGTGCTGTCAGTGTGTGTGTGTGTCTGTCAGTGCGTGTGTATGTGTGTCTGCTGTCAGTGCGTGTGTGTGTGTCTGCTGTCAGTGTGCGTGTGTATGTGTGTCTGCTGTCAGTGTGTGTGTGTGTGTGTCTGCTGTCAGTGTGTGTGTGTAAGTGTGTCTGCTGTCAGTGTGTGTGTGTGTGTCTTGCTGTCAGTGTGTGTCTGTGTGTGTGTGTTGTGTCTGCTGTCAGTGTGGTGTGTGTGTGTGTCTGCTGTCTGTGTTGTGTATGTGTGTGTGTGTGTGGTGTGTGTCTGCTGTCAGTGTGCGTGTGTATGTGTGTCTGCTGTCAGTGCGTGTGTGTGTGTCTGCTGTCAGTGTGTGTTGTGTGTGTGTCTGCTGTCAGTGTGTGTGTCGTGTGTGTGTGTCTGCTGTCAGTGTGTGTATGTGTGTCTGTGCTGTCAGTGTGTGTGTGTGTTGTGTGTCTGCTGTCAGTGTGCGTGTGTATGTGTGTGTCTGCTGTCAGTGTGTGTGTCTGCTGTCAGTGTGTGTGTGTGTCATGTGGTGTGTGTGTGTCTGCTGTCAGTGTGTGTGTGTAAGTGTGTCTGCTGTGTGTGTGTGTGTGTGCTGTCAGTGTGCTGTCTGTTGTCAGTGTGCTGTGTATGTGTGTCTGCTGTCAGTGTGTGTCTGCTGTCTCTGCTGTCAGTGTGTGTGTAAGTGTGTCTGCTGTCAGTGTGTGTGTGTAAGTGTGTCTGCTGTCAGTGTGTGTGTGTGTGTGTCTGTGTGTGTGTGTGTGTATGTCTGTCAGTGTGTGTGTGTGTGTGTGTGTGTGTGTGTGTATGTGTCTGCTGTCAGTGTGTGTGTGTGTCATGTATGTGTTATGGTCTGCTGTCAGTGTGTGTGTGTGTGTGTCTGCTGTCAGTGTGTGTGTGTGTGTGTGTGTGTGTGTGTGTGTGTGTGTGTGCTGTGTGTATGTGTGGGTGTGTCTGTGTCTGTCTCCTGTGTGTGTGTGTATGTGTCTGCTGTCTGCTGTGTGTGTGTGTGTGTGTGTGTGTATGTGTCTGCTCTCAGTGTGTGTGTGTCTGCTCTCTGTGTCTGTCATGTGTGTGTCTGCTGTCTGTGTGTGTCTGCTGTGTGTGTGTGTTGTGTGTGTCGCGCGTGCGTGCGCGCGCATATGCTATCAGTGTATGTGTATGCATGCGTGTGTGTGAGTGTTTATATGTGTGTTTGTTTGTATGTGTTTGTGTGTATGTTTGTATGTGTTTGTGTGTCTAATGTCTGTGAATGTGATTTTCTGTCTGCTGTTTGTTCGTGTCTGTCTATGCCTCTCTATCTGTATCTGTTTGATACAAACGCCTTCTCCCTCACTCTTTCGTCAAACACATTCCCTTTCTCCGCCTCATCCATCTCTCCTTTTACCCCCATCTGTCTTTTTACTCTCCTTTACTCCCTGTCTTCCCGTCTTCCCCTCAAGCTCCAACAAGGTAAACATGCGAGTCATCCAACAACAACCGGACTTTGCAGCCGGGCTATTAAACGTCTATTGCACATGCCGGCGGTCTGTTGCCATAGCAACATTCCGCCGACCGCGATAGACATTTTCTGGGTATGTGGGATGCAGAAAGAGAAGGAGGGAGGGAGAAAGAAAGGAACGAGAAAGGGAGGAGGGAGAGAAAGGAGGAGGGAGGGAGGGAGGGAGGGAGAGAGGGAGGGAGGGAGAGGAGGGAGGAGAGGAGAAAAAGAGGAGGGAGAGAGAGGGAGGGAGGGAGGGGGAAGAGGGAGGAGGAGGAGAGAGGAAGAGAGGAAGTTAGTTGTGGGGAGAATGGATAAGAGGTGTAGTGTGAAGGGAAGAGGAATATAACGAAGGTATGGAAGGAAGAGAAGAAGATAAAGATGGAGAGAGTAGAGAAAAAAGAAGCCTCAATAATTACTGCAGCATGTATTAATTCTGCGTATTTTGCCATGTTTCTCTGATGCCACATGTTAGTCTCCCAACGCATGTCTTGCTTAATCAGTTTCTCTTATCTTCGAGTGATCTTGCCGACGCAGGAGCTACTTCCTGTTAACGCTGATCTTGCGCTGACGAAGATGTTGCTCGACTTGACACACAGCTGTTTATAAGAAACGAGCAGCACATGACTTTTGTCTCTTTTAAGCTGTTATGTAGGGAGATGGGGAGGAAGCGAGCGAGAGAGGTGGAGGAAAGGAAGGAAGGAGAGAGAGAGAGAGAGAGAGAGAGAGAGAGAGAAGAGAGAGAGAGAGAGAGAGAGAGAGAGAAGAGAGAGAAGAGAGAGAGAGAGAGAGAAGAGAGAGAGAGAGAGAGAGAGATAGAGAGAGCGAGATTATTATAGAGCATTATATAGAGCATTATATAGAGCATTATATAGAGCATATGACAGGAAGGGAAGGGAAGGGATAGAGAAAGAAGAGAAAGTTGGATACCAAAAGTCATGTTATCTCTCACTTTTTATACACCAAGAAGTTACATCCGTTAATTTCAGGAGGCAATGCGCTGTGCAGTATGATCTAATATTAAGATGCTCTATTTCTATAAGATCATTATCTAAGTCATAAATTATTATCAGACTTTGCGAACTAGTCGGCCCCATAACTTGCAGTGTGTGTGGTCTCGTATGTCTCAATCAGACCAGCGGATACTTGTGGTTCTAATAAGCATGATAGCAATACCTCGTGTTGATTATAAGAAGCATTAGATAAATGTGATATCCATTTATAAAGGATAAATGACGTGTTTACATTGTGTATGAAAATGCAAATTTATGGGAAAGGATTAAAAAACAGCGGAAGGAGACTGGTGGAAGAGAGTGAATGCGAAGAATGTGTTAGGGTGGCGTTGGATAAAAGGAGTGGGAACTGAAATGATTTGAAAGGCGAAAGAGATAGCTCCAAAGAATAGAGTAAAGTGAGGGTGAATGCGAAGAATAGATGAAATGGGAGTGGTGAATCGCGAAGGCGAAGATAGATAAGGAGGGAAGGCGAAGATGATAGTTGTGTAGAATAGAGGGAAGTGCGAAGAAGGATAGATAGGAATGGGATATGGGAGGATGGTGTGTGCGATAATAAGAGTTAATGCGATAGAATGGAGCGAGTTAAAGGCGAAGAATAGATAAAGGAGGGAAGGCGAAAGGATAGAATAGAATAAGAAAAGGAGGGAAGGCGAAGAATAGATAAAGGAGGAAGGCGAGATAGAAAAAGGAGGAAGGCGAAGAATAGATAAAGGGAAGGCGAAGGCGAAGAATAGAGGAGGGAAGGCGAAGAATAGGGAGGAAGGCGAAGGAGGGAAGGCGAAGAATAGATAAAGGAGGAAGGCGAAGATAGATAAAGGAGGGAAGGCGGAATAGATAGATAAAGGAGGGAAGGCGAAGAATAGATAAAGGAGGAAGGCGAGAATAGATAAAGGAGGGAAGGCGAAGAATAGATAAAGGAGGGAGGCGAAGAATAGAGGGAAGGCGAAGAATAGATAAAGGAAGGGAAGGCGAAGAATAGATAAAGGAGGGAAGGCGAGAATGCGAAGATAGAAAGGAGGGAAGGCGAAGAATAGATAAAGGAGGGAAGGCGAAGAATAGATAAAGGAGGGAAGGGAGGAAGAAGGCGAAGAATAGATAAAGGAAAAGAATGAAGGCGAAGAATAGATAAGGAGGGAAGGCGAATAGATAAAGGAGGGAAGGCGAAGAATAGATAAAGGAGGGAAGGCGAAGAATAGATAAAGGAGGGAAGGCGAAGAATAGATAAAGGAGGGAAGGCGAAGAATAGAGGAGGGAAGGCGAAGAATAGAGAAAGGAGGGAAGGCGAAGAATAGAGATAAAGGAGGGAAGGCGAAGAATAGAGAAAGGAGGGAAGGCGAAGAATAGAGAAAGGAGGAAGGCGAAGAATAGATAAAGGAGGGAAGGCGAAGATATAAGAATAGATAAAGGAGGGAAGGCGAAGAATAGATAAAGGAGGGAAAAGAATAGAAAGGAGGGAAGGCGAAAGAATAGATAAAGGAGGGAAGGCGATAGAATAGAATAGATAAAGGAGGGAAGGCGAAGAATAGATAAAGGAGGGAAGGCGAAGAATAGATAAAGGAGGGAAGGCGAAGAATAGATAAAGGAGGGAAGGCGAAGAATAGATAAGGAGGGAAGGCGAAGATAGATAAAGGAGGGAGGCGAAAATAGATAAAGGAGGAAGGCGAAGAATAGATAAAGGAGGGAAGGCGAAATAGAGAAAGGAGGGAAGGCGAAGAATAGATAAAGGAGGGAAGGCGAAGAATAGAGAAAGGAGGGAAGGCGAAGAATAGATAAAGGAGGGAAGGCGAAGAATAGATAAAGGAGGGAAGGCGAAGAATAGATAGAATAGATAAGGAGGGAAGGCGAAGAATAGATAACGGAGGGAAGGCGAAGATAGATAGATAGATAACGGAGGGAAGGCGAAGAATAGATAGAATAGTAACGGAGGGAAGGCGAAGAATAGATAACGGAGGGAAGGCGAAGAATAGATAACGGAGGAAGGCGAAGAATAGATAAGGAGGGAGGCGAAGAATAGATAGAATAGAAAGGGAGGGAAAGGAATAAGAGGGAAGGCGAAGAATAGATAAGAGGGAAGGCGAAGAATAGATAAGGAGGGAGGCGAAGAATAGATAAAGGAGGGAAAAGAATAGATGGGAAGGCGAAGAAGAATAAATAAGTCTGGCAGTGTGGATATCCTGTAAATCCCTTGCCATCCTCATATTGCATGTAACCTGTAGGTCAGGTCTTCGATCTGGTCCAAGCAGGTTGCAGAAGGATAAGATTTAGCAGACACACATAGTCCAAAATATTTGATAAGAATAAACTTGTTTATATCTCTTACTGTATTCTTCTGTTTTCGTCTTCATTTGTTGTTGTTGTGAATGTTATCATTATTATTATTTTTGTGATATTGCTCTTATTATTTTATTATTATTGATTTAATATATTTTATTTAATAGTTATCTTCACCTTAAATCTTTTTTTCGCAGCTGTGTTGAGTGTGTCCGACAAGACCGGCCTCGTGGACCTCGCCAAGGGCCTCGCCGCCGCCGGTCTCTCCCTCGTCGCTTCGGGCGGGACGGCGACGAAGCTGAGGGAGGCGGGCTTGGAGGTCGGTGTGGGGGAGGGTGTTGCAGGGTTGCTGGTGTTTGGTGGGGTTGTAAGGTGTGGGAGCGAGTGATGTGTTATTGTAATGATTTAATTTTTCTCTCTTTTTTTCCTTTTTCTTTCTTTCTAATTTCGTTTCTCTTTCTTTTTTATTTTTTTCTTCTTTCCTTTTCTTTCTTTTTCTCTTTTTCTCTTTTTCTCTCTTTCTCTCCTCTCCCTCTTTCCCTCTTCCTCTTCCTTTCCATATTTTCCTTTCTGTTTATTTTCCTCTTCCTCTACTTGTTTTTCTTTCTCTGTTATTTTTCCTTCTCCCCCCTTTCTCTCTTCCTCTCCTCTCTCTCTCTCTCTACCCATCCTCCTCTTTTCTCTCCTCCTCCCTTCTCCTCTTCTCTTTCTTTCTCATTTTCTCTCCAGCCATTCCCCCTCATCATTTCCTTTTTGCTCCCTCCTAATTTTATTTTCCTCTCATTCTCTATCTTTTGCTCATATTTCTTTTCTTTTCTCATTCTCTTTCTCTTCCTCTCAGCTATCCTCTAGCTTGTCTTAATAATGATAAAAATAAAGAGATTCATTATTTTTTTGTACAGGTCTCTGATGTAGCAACAGTGACAGGTGCAGCCGAGATGCTTGGTGGGCGTGTGAAAACCCTTCATCCAACTATTCATGGTGGAATTCTGGCTAGGGATATACCCTCTGACCTGGCTGACCTCACAGAGAGAAACATCAGCCCCATTCAAGTAAGGAGAGATACAATGCTGTAGAATTCTGATATGCTGAGGAGGCTCTTAACCGTGTGTTGGAGAAGAACTGAAATAAAGTTAAGTGTGGTGATTAGTTGAGTGATGTAACAAAAATATTGTTTGAGGTTGAAGTTTTAAAAAGATTAATGTTTTTTTCCATTTTAGGTTGTAGTATGTAATTTGTACCCCTTCGTGAAGACAGTGGCTAAGGAGGGTGTCACAGTAGAGGATGCTGTTGAGAATATTGATATTGGAGGTGTAACACTCTTGAGGGCTGCTGCCAAGAACCACAGCCGCGTAACAGTGCTCTGTGATCCGGAAGATTATGGGAAAGTCTTAGCAGAATTCAAGACTGGCAACACAGATATAACCACAAGGTGAATATAAAAACAGCCATAATAATGACAGGCGTATTATACTATATTATAAATAAAAGAAATGGTAATTACTAAAGAAATTTCAAATTAGATTCAGAGAAGGCTTCAACAAAAATTATCATAGAAAGTGACAGATTTTAGCAAGTTCTCAAAAGTTTATCAGAGGTACTGTAGTTCATTTACTGTTAGAAGACTAAATGTAGAACCAGACTAAATGTAGAACTATCAATTCTCATGTTACAAACTTTCTGTAGAAATTGTGTCTAAGTTGTGTAGGAACATACAATAATGAAGTCTTGAAATTAAATCGTATTTCTCTGAATTATCAGGCAGCAACTAGCTTTAAAGGCATTCACACACACTGCCCAATATGATGACGCTATCAGTGACTACTTTCGCAAGACCTACTCTAAGGGGATGGCACATCTGCCCCTTCGTTATGGCATGAACCCTCATCAGAAGCCAGCTCAGGTTTATACTCAAGGACCAAAGCTTCCTATCACAGGTAGTCAATAGAAGCTTGGGTGATATTGATTATGTAGATTCATGCTATTAACTGTTGAAGAGTATTATTCACTGTAGATACTAGTTTTCTTGTATTGATATATATATTACAGAATATGGGATTGAAATGAAATAGCAACATATGATTAATCATCACAATGCATTCTTTTCTCTACAGTTGTAAATGGCTCACCTGGTTTTATTAACTTGTGTGATGCTCTTAATGCATGGCAACTAGTGCGAGAACTCCGTGCCGCTTTAGATCTCCCTGCAGCAGCATCTTTCAAACATGTTTCACCTGCTGGAGCAGCCGTTGCCACACCCCTAACTGAGGATGAGGTAGAAATCTTTTCTGTTTTCTAAATTGTATTGATTACCTCTTATGAAACGGGGAAAACAAAGAAAAGTGTTGATGTAAGTACTCTGATTCCACTTTCTCCTATCAAGAAGTGATTCTTTCAGGCAAAAGTGTGTATGGTGGAAGATCTAGGTCCCCTCACTCCATTAGCCATTGCCTATGCCAGAGCACGAGGAGCAGATCGAATGTCTTCCTTTGGAGACTTTGTGGCTCTGTCAGATGAATGTGATGCTCTTACAGCAAGAATCATCTCTAGGGAGGTATGTCATTACTTCATCTGTTTTACAATACTTATATAGTAAAGCCTGTTTCAAATACCTTTTGCAGTACCTGATCATAATTATACATTATATGTTATGTAACCACCTTTCCATAGACATTGCATTGATAATCAACCAGGTCTCTGATGGAGTGATTGCACCATCATACTCACCAGAAGCCTTGGAGCTTCTCAAGAAGAAGAAAGGGGGAAACTACTGTGTGTTGCAGGTCAGTAAATTTGCATCTTGAGTACCCTTTGGAAAATATACTGGTATGTCAGAATTATTTCATTGTATGTGCACATTACACACATGCATAGACTCATTCACTCTTGGGCACATACTTAGGCACAGACTTAAAGGAAGTTAAGCACAGGCACAAGCAGGCAGTCATGTTTATACACACACATTCTTTTATACATGCTTTTTGTATGTGGTCTCCAAACTCTAGTTGGTCTTCCCTTTGTATTGAAAAGCTCTTACATTTGAGCAGATGTGTAATGTCATTGTCCAATGATGTGTAAGTAAATCACAGTTGCTTTAACAAGTACTTTTATTGCTTTGGTGGTTGGACATAGTGTAGTAGTGATAAACTACATATACGTAGATAAATATAGATATAGATATATAAATGATATAACATTTTGTCAAAAATATATTCAAATAAAGTAAATTGTAGACCTGCTGTATAACTAGTATGCAGAAAATATATACATAGAAATAAAATTATTTTCTTTTGTGATGAACTTTTCTTGGCATGTTCCATATAATTATATCTGAAATACATATTACAAGCCAAAGGGAATGCATTACAATGCACATGATACAAATATTTAAAATGTATCGGAAGAATACTAGAGATAAAACATTATTCAAGTCAAAAATTAATTTATTTAAAAAACGGTAAAAGGCCAACAAGATATATATACACAGGAAAATGCATTAGACTTATTCAGTATTTAGCCTTAGAAATACAGTATCCAAAATGAGTAAACAATAATTTTTACATACTCTGGTGTGAATAAGAAAGTAAGAGAGCAATGACAGAAACACAAATATTCACACCATAATTCAAAAGTTTGGTTCATAATTTGCTATCCTGCATTGAAAGGAGAGATTGGTGGTGAATATCCTTCTTTTGAAGATAAGGTATAGATATTACTTGCAGAATATATTATTTCAGTGTCAAGATTCATAGCAGGAAGTGGAGTAACAAATCTTAACCAGTTTTACACTTGAGTGGCATTTATTTTGTGCACTTTTCAATTGTAATATCTAAAGAACAAGATAACTAATAAAAGTTAGTTCCTCGCTATGCAATTACCATTGTTATTCCAATAATACTTTTCGTGTTTTGGAACTACAGGCTATCAGTTTTGAGTTGAAATATCAGAAAGATGTGGGGGACTAGTGAATGGACGGTTTGCAATGGAAGATGTATGGCTTGAAATGGATGCACCAGATGGATGACTGGATGGACGATTTGGCACAGGAGAGGATTTTACTCTGACGGGTCTGGGTGGGCAGTCTGGGGATTGACGTTCCTGACAATGATCTTTATTGACAGATTTCAAGGACATTTTCAATGGCTGACCAGTGATATCTGCTGATGAATAAGTGGGCTGATTGTTACTGGTTGTGCTATTAATACTAGAGGAACTTGGAATGGTATCTGAATGTATAATCGTGTTTCCGTGAGTATCCAGTGTCAGCTTACTGGACCCTCGGTTGGTAAGTTCATAATGTAACAGGTGTTCTGCAGGACTGCTGTGTGTAACAGAGCTGTTGCATGATCTGGAAGGAAATATAACTTTCTTAGTGACTTTCCTAATGGCATTCCGCAGAATTGGGCTCTGATATCCATAGAGACTAGGATGGATTGCCATAAGGCTGAGGATATGAATGAATGTAATGAGGACCAAAATATCTATTGTTAACGAGGAGGAGGAGGAATACCCAAGATACACACACAGCTGGAGGCCTAGCAGAGGCAGGTAGGAAATGGCAAAAAAGGCAACAAGCCGATGACTGGTTCGGACACACTTCCGCCGAACTGGATGCATAATAAGGTCAGTTGGTATGTTGTCGATTCCTCCTGGTAAAGCTCCAGAAGATTCATATTGACAACTCCTGTCAGGGCGTTGAGGATTGCTTAATTCAGTGTATTCCTCCTCTTCGTCCTCAGACTCCAGTGATGAGGCAAATCTCGTGGCTGTACGTGCTGATGTAAGGGCAGAAAGCCTTGCCATGCGCTGGTTACGATTCAGCTTTTGGTGTGGTGTGCTCTGCTTACTTGAGGGTGCTGACATATCAGCCATATACCCAGCACAGAGATTTTCCTGGACTTCAGCACTGCACACTTTTCCTTCATTTTTGAGATTCATAGTGTCATTGGATCCTTGAGTTTTGCTTCTTTCTGTATCAGAATGAAGACTATTGAGGAGTGGCCAAGGAGAACTTTTTTGGTTTTGGAGTGAATTGTCTTGACTCTCATAAAATGTTTCCACCTGGCTTCTCTGCATGATGCGAGGCAGATAGTCATAGACATTCCGAAGTTTCCAAGCTGTGGTGTTAACAGTGTGTGTATTTGGAGGCATTGTCACAGGGTTGATGATGGTTGTCCGATGTTGTTTTGTTGCAGTTGTTATATTATAATTGCTCTCCACTGCATTAGGAAGGGCTATGTTGATAACAGCCTGTGGCAATGCTTGCACTGGAGGACACCTATGTGACGACTGTGGAGCTACCTCCTCCTGGGTATCTTTTGGCTCAATTGCCTGGTAAAGGTGTTCACTTTCTGGTTCTGACTCAGAGCCTGATAAGGGTTGCAAGTCACTAGTTGGTCTTCTAAAGCAGACGGGGGAAGACTCAGAAGGTAGCGTTTCCTCTTTCTTGCAAGCACTGGACTCTGGCTTACATGCCAAAGAAATTGAAGCTGCAGCAGGAGGAAAGCTTGTGGAACCACATGTTGGTACTTGCGGGAGTGGAGGTCTCTTGTTTATGCCAAGCTGCAGTTGTGTTTGTTGGGAACTGTTCGAGTTTAACTCAGACTTTTTGTTGTCCGAATCTTTTTTATGTGTTGAGGTGCATGGTATTGACTGTTGGCTACATGCACCATAGTAACTGTTCGCAAATTGCCCATCTTTTTGGGTGCTTACCCTCTTTGATTTTTGTAAGGATGAATCATGGTAAGTTTCAGACAGTGGAAGTGTGTCTTGGTGTAACTTGCTGTTGTTGTACTCTCCACCCAGGGAGCTCACATCAGAGCTGATATGGCCAATGTGTGCCTGTCGAGGAAATGATGGGTTGTCCACAAGCTTCGTAAAATTATTGATGGCACTATTCCTTGTACCTTGGTGGTTTTCAGTATAGATGGACTTCTTTTTTATTTTCTTGATGGTAAGATAGTTTACCAGGACAACCAACACGAAACCAAAAGTCACACACACAGCAGTGAGAGGCAAAGTGTTAGCTAAGGTGGCTGTCCAAAAGTCAAAGGAGCAGGTAGGACTACCACGGAATATGTTATGGAGAGCATACCCAACTGCAATTCCTGTTCCACTCACCCAAAGCACCAGTATGATGAGACGAACCACAACCCTTTCATGGGTGCGTGTCTGATTAAAGTTATAGAACTGCCACCAGCGGATAATGCTAATGCTAACGATGCTTCCCATGGAGACAAAAGTGGCAAGGACCATGGACGTAGAAATGAGCATGCACACCTTATAAGGCATCATCTGAGAGTCCAGGAGGCTGATGATAAGGACAGGAACCAGCAGCATACTGGCAAGAAGGTCAGAAGCCGCTAGACTCACGTAAAGTACAAAAAAATTCTGGCCCAGGTAGTGGCGTGACAAGATGGTGAAAAGGATGAGTGTGTTACACACCAAAGAGACTATTAGAAGAGTGGCAAAGATGGAAGCTAATATGTAGGTAGTGAAGACATCTAGGTTCTGATATAGTTCGTGGTGGAGAGCTGTCCCACTACCATTACCAAACTGAGCGGCAGAAATGCCAATATAAAATGAGGTTGATGTCTCAGTGGAAACATTTGGTTGCCCATACCAAGATGTACCAAGGTATGTCCAGAATTCTGGTGTTGGGCTGGATGTCAGGCCAGATTCTAATGTGTGTGCTTCCCCATGCGTAACATTGGAGATTCCATTAAAACTATAGGGGAACAAACTTTCTGAAGAAAAGGAACCTGGGGGAGTCCTTGTGTTTCCCCCAAACCACGGTGACATACTCGAAGCCTCATCAGTAGTTGAGAGCACAGTAACTTTGGAAGTGGTACCAGATTCAGAATTATCGGAGTCTCCCCAGGACCACAAGTCTGAACTTTGACTTTGTTCTTCGTTTGTGTCCTTTTGGGTTTCAGTAGCCACATCAAACAACGTGTTAAGCAGCGTGGCGTGATTAGCTAGAAGCCTGTTTGTTATTGTCGAATCACTACTGCTTTGGGCCATATCGTAAATAGGAGTCGTTGCTTGCATTTCGTTTTCCGGCTGACGTCCACGCCAGATCCACCAGTCGTCGACGTTCCCGCCCAAACCTCCGCCATTTCTCTCGTATTTGCCGGAATCCAGAGAGTCCGCATAATCACTGCCTCCGCTCATGTACATTTCGCCACCGTAGCCTGGCAACACGCGCACAGAGCTCGGTAGGGTTCCCGTGCCATAGTTGAACGGTTCGCTGTCGTCTTGCGGAATGCGTATGTACATGCTCATCACGGGGGCCGGAGCGCGGCCTTCCGTCCGAGGAATCAGCGGCAGCCACCCGTTCTCCCCGTCGACCTCTTCACTCGCGTATCGATAACCTTCCATAGTACTTTATGAATATCGTTCTACACAATAAACATCTCTTTATTTTTTTTGCAAATGTGTTCAGTATTTTATTGGTTATTGCCACGATGGCGAAACTGTTATGTTGATTATAATAACGGTATTATTTTTGTTGACCAGGGATATTTTGTTTTCCTTTTCCGTTAATCTTGTTCACAGTTGATCCGCAGAAGTAACGCCAAGTAAAGAAAAAAAAAAAAAAGAGAAAGCTAATCGATTAACACCAGAGTACACCACAACAGTTTTTTTCTTGCGTTCGTTTTCGCAAACGCCGAGGGCCGTGGCGAGAGGCGATCCAGGGGCGACCCGCGAGAGACCGAGGACGACGCCAGACTGCCCGCCGTCCGTCCTGTCGTACCTGTTGCCGATGAAGTGCCGTTGGGGA